AGGCATTGCTTACCTTCGACTGTGGGCTTGGTCCATATGGTGTAAAGGTGTACTGCCACTCCGGCAAGCCTAAGTGGCTAATCATGAGTCGGTAATAGGCCATAAAGGAGGACGTCAGGTAATACCAGTAACATGCACGGTCCAGGAACCACACCTCACAATGGTTAGCCAGAATACCTGGGAAAATCCACAGCATTGATTCCACACTTTACAGTTTACTTATTTCAGTTTAGCAGGCAGCCACTAGGGGCTGGATGGACAGAAAATTAGATGCTTATCCTCTGCTTGATCATCTCTGATGGCCTTTACAAAAACACAGGCTAGTATCTGTAAGATGCTTTATTCAATCTTGTTATTATATTCTTTTTATTCTATTGACTGGCACACAGAAAAGGAGCTGGTTACCTGGAGTGCAATTCTGGTAGACCAAGCAGACCTTCCCATTGCCGTTGCAAGGGTCCAGTTCGAAAATGCGGGTGCTGGAGTCAAAGCGGGGCAGCCTGGGTTTGTCCTCTGGCCCTGAGAGGGGAAATAAAAAATAAATACTAATGCCTGAAGGGAAGGATTTAATTCCTTGCTTGCTGGACTTGTAAGCAAATAAGTAATTCATAACAGAATTTATACACTCAGGGGTGTAATGATCCCGCAAATCCAGGGTTTGGTTCAGACCTTGATATCTGGGCTATGGTTTGGTTCATACTTGTTTTTATTTTATTTTTTTATTTTTTTTTTGGGGGGGGGGGGGAGGTGGTTGAATAACAAAAAAAAATTGCTGGATTTATAATCACCATCGAAAAGAAGAACATTAATGAGCACATTATATTGCCTTAACTCCACATAAAATAATTACGTAAACTAAAATAAACTTTTAAAAAATGCTACTGGATAATGAAAATGTTTCTGCACTTGACTGTCCCTGGAGGCTCTGCAGTCTCAGGGTTATTATCCATCTTGACCTAATGAAACTAGCCTAGCTTTTACCGTAAACATGATCACTCGATCGTGATTGGCCCAAAATAGTCATGTGATACACATCGGTGCAATGTGTGATATTTACAAAATATACTGCTTGCCCTATCTTTTGAACAGTAATTTTGTGATTTACATGTGTTATAGTGTTAATTGTGAAATGAAACAAGAATTTTGTAACATTAGTAATGTAATAAGGCTGCATCCGCAGCAGCAGCTTGGGGGGGAGGGGGGATATCGTGGTTCCAATATTCTAGAACCTCGATACAAGATTGTGAGTGTTTGTAACGCGGTTTTGGTCTTGGTTTCAGAACCGTTACACCACTAATTGCCCTACATCAGTGTTTCCCAATCTAATCCCTGGGAACCTAAGACAGTCCACATTTTTGCTCCCAGCCAATCTAAAACACTGACTACCTGGTATGGGTGTGTTGGGAGTTTGGAGGGAGCAAAAACATGGACTATCTGGGGTCCCCGAGGACTGGATTGGGAAACACCACTCTATATGTTTCTGGATGCTGGTGCGACTATATGACCAAATACAGTCGTTTTCTCTCCAACGGTAACACACCACTCCAGCATTTATATCTCTCAGACTGGGTGTTGTACAGTCTTGATCCATAGTCATACAGAACACCCATAAACTGTTAAGTTGCAATGCAAACAAACTGAAATATCTAAACATAATCCACATATATACATATATCTTGAACTGGGTCTGTCCAACACTGAACATGGTCTCTGAGGAATATTTTGCCAATGTTTTGCCAATCTTGTACAAGTCAAGCAAATCAAAAATAAAACGATTTCCCTCAGATATTCACTACTCACCCGCTGTTTCCTCTTCGCTGTCAAGATCAGCCAATGTGGGAGCGTTAGGGAGGGAGAAAACTGTAGACTGGCAGAGTGGGCACAGTCTAGCCACACTATTTATCACCATGGAGCCCAGAGTCACTGGTTCATCTGCAAGAAGTCAGACAGTCTAACATGATAGGAAACCTTAAGTTCACCAAACAAGCATTCTTGTGTCTCCAATAATACACCATATGAGAGTGACAGAAGATGTATCATATATTAATTTTAGATAAGATGGATCTGGGGAGGAAGGGAAGGAAGGAAGGATATTTATTAAGTTATTTACTTCTTCCACACTTACTTTCTAGTTTGCAACTCCAGGACAGCGTGAAGCCATCTATAGTAAGATAAAAGTCTCTAAGGTCCTCAGGAAGAACACAGCAATTTTTCTGAAGTATAAAGTAAAAGACGTGAGAGAATATAGCAACACATTCACAGATGCCAAGATCCCGGGCTCCAAAACACAGACTTGGGGGTACCAACCTGTTCCCAGGAAAGAAGGCAGCGTCTTTCAGCAGGCGCCCTCTCCACAAAGCGCACATCCAACACCCCGGGAAGACTTTCTGTTTTTTTCAGCCGGAGATTAATTCTCGTTAACCAAATATTTTTACAGCAAAAGAATACACTAGTCTTATTAGTTCACACGTTTGTTATTCTAAGTTCATTTCCCGCCACGGATTAAATTTACGATTATTTAATTATCCCAATTATCATGCAATTTAAATATGAAACAGTATATCATTTAGTTATATATTCTAAATGAATCGGTTCAGCTACTACATTATACTGTTCACAACATTCATAGTAAATAGCTAATGTTTACAAATTAAAAACATAGTCTAACACAAAAATTATACCTGATGTTTATGGTACTGTCTCTATTAAATGGTAACAGAAATAGGAAAGCCGCTAGATTGTGAATTTCTACAATCAATGACTTACCAAGGACTCGTGTAATACCGAGTGTCAGTCTTTCAGCAAACCCTTTAAACCCTCGTATATCAGTATTTTCCTCCATAATTATATGGAATTAACTGAACCATTTGACACTATCTTTTGATTATTGCGTAACACTTATCTAGGCATAGCAACCAGGATACATATAGATGACGAGTGCAGGGAAATGTAGTTTATACATGATCGAAAACTACACTTCCCAAATATTCTAGTCGAGAGAGAACATTTCTAGCCAATCAGATCCTGAAATGTTTTCCGTTAACGAATCAAATCATGTTAGAGAGGCGGTGCTACATGTTCCGCACACCGCTTGGCTCGATGGGAGTGGCGGTTGTTTCAATATGGCGGATGTAACCGGTTGGAATCGTAACGGTGAGATTTTCTGGATTAGGGATAGTATCCTTTTCAGTTGTAGACTGTGATAAATAATTGTAATCGCCAATAGTGCTGTTACGAATTTATTATGTATTAGCAATGACAGAACCTGGCTGTATAGCATCTACTCAATAAGTGATTAGCTTGCTATCAAGTCAACTGTAATGGATGAGAAGTAGCAAGCTCTGACAATTTGCACAGGTTTATGAAACTTTATAAAACTTTGCGTTTTATGTAGAATGACATCCTGACACGGCTTACTTGCTTATCAATAAATGCAGTGAATTTATCTCTGTATTGTATGCTTTATTTTGTTTTTGCTATTTATGGTATATTTCTTTATTGATTGGTAATGATAGAGGCAGAAAAAAATCTTAAAATAATAATCTTAAAGGAATATATTTCCTTTGATGTAATGAAGAGAATACTAATCGGTTTAACTTTGTAGAATTTCGACCCCTATTGCGATGCTTTTATGTGTACAAACGTGACACCTGACATGTCCTTAAGAAGGAAATTCATAGCGTCAGACGAAGATCAGCCCATGGTATTCGTACCTGGTGAGTGATGAGTAAAACGATAGAACATTGAACTGTTTACATGTTATATTTTCATCGTTTGTGCATGTGTAAAGTCCGAATATTCAAAATACAATTCTTGAATATTTTTAGCCACAAGGGGGCAGTCACGTAATTTGAGTGTGCCTGCCAAATAAAACGGGCAAAAGTTTTGTCATACTTCACCAACCACTTTTTCTTTTTTTCAAACCCAGAAACACTTTATATTTTTCTTTTTACTTCTCTTTTGTATTCCTTGACCTGCTACTATGATGTATATATGTATCATAGGTGTGAGCAGAGAAAGGATTATGGGAATGAAGGAGGGATCAGGGTGTGGTCTTGACAGAAAGGGCAAGATGAAACCAAACAAAGTGGACAGAAATGCAGTAGCTGGCAGCAGTGCAAAGAGGAAGCTCTGCGTGGCCCCTGACCACAAGGCTAAGGGCTCCCCTGTCTATGCTACTGCCTCAGCGATGGCCGCGGTCCGGTCTCCAGCTGACAGGCGTTTTCTACCCTCTGCTGTCCCCAGTACCGAGCTGGTAAGTGTAATCTTCATTGGTGTCTGGACTGGATCAGTGCACAGTGCAGTGCTGACAATGTGTTCATGTGTGTTTATTGATTACGGTTATTATTGCTTTGATTTATGTGTTTTTGATACATTGCCTACAACTTCAAGTGATTTGCAGACTTGTCACTATAATATGTCTTGTCATTGATATTGTCCTAATGTTTTGTGTAATTCTGATAGATGTGTGGTGCTTGCTTCTGTTTTCTATATTACAGCTCCAAATGAGAATTCCGCCATAAAAAAATAACTGTGGTCTTAATGTGACTTTTTATTATTCATAACAAGTCAGGTCACTATTCAGTGGGCTGTTTTCAAAGGGTGACAGGCTGTTTCTTTAAAATAACTGGCCTCCTCCTCTTGTTTTTTTTTTTTTTTTTTGCAGGCTGAAGCAGACCAAGCCAAGAGCCGCGCTTGTCTCAAGGACCTCTGCCCTGAAGACAAGCGCCGTATTGCCAACCTCATCCAGGAGCTGGCAAGGTGACGCTTCAGTCTCAGAGGGCTACAGCGGGACGTGATTGTAAACTGGGCTTGGATGTTCTTGCATATGGCCCTTGTCTACACATGCTAAGCATGTTCCAGGGGATGTTGTATGTTTAAAGCATGGGTGTCCTCTCCGCAGGGTGACTGAGGAGAAGGACGAGACAATGCAGAGGCTTCACGATGAACAAGAATCTTTTGAGATGAAGATCCAACAGCTTGAGGAACAGAACCAACTCATTGTCCAGGAACGCCAAAGTATCCTTCTCTGTCATACAGGGTAACCATGCTAAGGTCATGCTAACTGCCTAACTCTGGTCTTCTGCCTGCTTTTAAAACACTGATTTGTGCTTGTGCCATAGTTTTAGAGTAATTGAGTTGTTTTGCGTGCAAGTTACAATTGTGGGAAAACTGAAAATGACTTAAAAAATTCACAAAAACTAAAATATTGGTACCTAGGTTGATATTGCTGCACTTGTCACAATGGTACCAGTATCCATCACAGGCATACATTAACAGTTAAATATATATTCCATTACTGAATGTTTCTCATAGTGGTACATGTATTCATCACACTGTTTGCAGCGACAGCTGGGTGAAATTAATGATTGGAAACGTATGGAATAATGTGATTTCGTATTCTGCACACCTCTTGTACAGATGGTACGGAAGTACATTCATAACTGTAACATATCTAGGAGAGGGCCGGCCAGAATAATGGAAACACCTAAAAATATATTCTCAAGCACCTAATAAGGAGTTTGACTTCCCTTTGCATTCAGAACAGCTTCAGTCCTTGAAATCTTGATCTGTATTTATTGGGATATTGGAACATTATTTAAAAACAAAAGCCTGCAGTTCTTTGAGGGATTAATGAGGTGGGTATATGCTCTGTTCTCCGTGCTTTAGAACTTGCAGTGAAGGTTCAGAGGTGTTTTGGTCTGGTGAATGGGAGGGTGACGGACAGTGCTTGGTTACTTCCTGGTTTCCATGAAACCGGTTTTCAGTTTTAAGCAGTGTATGTGGGATCATTATCATCATGGAATATGGAAGGTTCCTGATGGAACAGTGACTGCATCATCACCCTGTCCCACATAAAGGCCTTGTGTTCCTTGGCTGTTTTATGGTTGTGCAGAGCAATCATCAGAATTAATGACACTAATGAGATGACTGCCCATAGCATTATGGACACCCCTGCAAGTTCGCTTTCTCCAAACCTCAATCTGTCTGCATGTATGTGAAAGATGACTCATCAAATCATATTACTGTTTCCCTATTGCTCATGACTTTGTCCTCTCCGCACCCGACTTTTGTGCGTTGGTTTCAGATTCAAGTGGTTTCCGAATGGCGGCTGAGGGATAAATTCTAGCTTTGTGAAGCTCTCAATGATTGACTTTTACTGACTATGGGTCACAGAGGTCCTGATTCAGTTTTATGCTAATTTTGTGGCTTTATTTATTTTCTTTCATACGTTTTATAAAACAGACAGTTTTCATTAGCATTGCATATGGACTGAAAAAGAGCTCGGGAACCTTTATAAGGAAGCATATATATTAGGTTTGTGCGTTTCCATTACTGAGGCCGATGCGATATGCATCTCGATGCATTGCCAATGATCTGATACATTAAAGATACATATGAAGCAGCTACTGATGCAATATATAAGATTCACCCCTATTGTGATGCAGTGCAATTCGATGCGATGCAAAATAATATGATGCCGTGCAACTTAATATGGTACAGAAACAGATTAGAGAAGGGGAATCAATCTTAATATAAAATTATTGGTCATAAAATAGTGATCACATTTGTATAATAATTATACTTGTATATTTAATACATTAATATATACTAATAATTATATATTAATAAATGAGATTTTACAAATGCAAACATGTTAGAAACAATGCATCCTGAATCCTCCCCATATCATATCCAGTGCACACTTTCCTAATTGGGACGATCACATCGTTAGCTTTTATGCCGGTACACCAATTCTTACCTTCCTGAAAATATGTGTAATAAAGTAAATATCTGGTTCCTTGCTTGGGGGAAGGCAAAATGTGTTTTAAAGAAAAAGCAGATGCTTGTCCCGAGTATCTTCCACTCCTTGTGACACTAGGGGGCAGTGTTTTTCTTTCTTTTTTTTTCTCTTAGGAACACAAAGCTGACCTGTGAAGGCTAGATGCCTTGAGGTAATGGTATTTGGTTATTTATTTATTTTTTTGTAAATTGGCCATAGGTTCTGGATTCAGGAAGATTTTTCTGAATTCACTGTCGTGATCTCTTGACCGTTTTGCTTAGTGTTAAGGTTTACCATGAATGGTTTTACTTTAGGTTTCTGTAAACCGGTGCTTTATACCCAGAATTATGAAGGATGAAGTATATTTTAAAGTCCTTGGTTCTTTACATCTGTTTGTGTGGTTGGTTTTAAATCGACAGTGTAATGTGAAGTATGCCCTATTCTTCCAAAACAGCTGCCAAAACAAACATTTTCAAAATAGTGGGTATATTAATAAGCATATACTGGGAATTGACTGATATTCCATATATCAGTCAGTTCCCAATATATGTAGTTTATAATTGTAGTTTAAAAAAAATCTAAACTTTCCAAAAACATTTCACTGTTTCCTGCCGAGGTCCAACTCATTTTTTGTGGATTCATTTTGATTCAGGGGATCCGTCAGTCATAATTGACTGTCCATTTACTGAAACACAGGAGAAATTGCAGCCAGATAATTACACAATTGGTATCAAAGCTCAAATTATGAATTCTCAACTCAAATGCACTTAAGTTCTGAACTTGGTATTTGTGTGAAACTTTTAAAATCTATTACATTTGATAAATCATATGAAAGGACCCTTTGGAGATGATGATGAAAGCTGTGTTGTCTTTAAAGTACAGAAAGTCATAACACACCTTTGAGATGAGTATTGAGTATGGTTTTTAAAGGTTATGGGGACACCAAAGGCAAACAGCTTTAAAGATTCCTGTAAAGATGGCCTATAATTTCTTAACAATAAGTTCCATCTTATCTACAGAGATTGGGGTTATCTGGGGGATGAATCTATCAGTCTTTATAAAATCATTATTTTTGTTCTGCATCGAGCAATAGTGTGAATTTACGCGCAGGATTAAATTTTGGTTATCTGTCCTGCACGTGGCATTCCGCGACAAACTTCAGAGCTGCTCTGTTGCTGTGTGCTGAGAGTTATTGCAATGATATTGCATCGTTAAAGCTTTGCATTGCAGCTTCTAGTTTACAGATGCTAATATAAAACAGTGAAATAGCAGAATGGTTAATAATACATCAAGAAGCATTTAACATCTACAGCACAAGTCTGACTCTTCACTCGATAGATGTGAGGCCAAGTCTAGATTAAATAATTTTATTCCACTTATTTCATTTTCATTATTTTGTAAAATTATTGTAAATGTATTACTTGAAGGTTGTCTGTAATTTATTAGTCATTGATCCTAAAGCTTAACCTTTTCATTGAAGAACATTCAAACTGTAGTGTTCATCCCTACATCATCCCTACATCATCCCTACATCATCCCTACATCATCCCTACATCATCCCTACATCATCCCTACATCATCCCTACATCATCCTATCACATGCCACTTCACACCAGTGGTTATATTCCGCCTGAACCCCAATTTCAAGCCCCATATGGTTTTTCATAGCTTTGTCCAAGCAGCATTAAAATATTCTTTTTGTGTGTCTTTATTCCTCCATGGATTAGATTTCATTACTTCTTGGTCTACTGACAGAGAATTGAATCACGTTGACAATTCCTGTCATGGAATTGTGAGTGCAAGTTCTGATTTTTGGTATTTTTGGATGGAGTGGAAGGTATCTCTCGCTTCCTCCTGATGTAAGGTTCCTGTAACCCTCTGACTGGCCCACTTCCAGGGAAATGCCAGTTGGTGTGGTACTGGAAGAATGTAATCTTTTACAGTCCAGTTGTTCCAGATCACGACGTTATGTAAATCTTCACATTAATGTTCATTTATATTTGTGCTTGATGTGTCTGAATTGTCTTGTCTGCATAAATATATAGTGTATTTTATGCAAGGTTTTGGTTTACAGTATTGGTCAAGATCTTTAATTGGATACATTCAGGTTAATTAGACATCATGGGTTTGCAAGTGCTGTTTGTGGTGACTGGTTCTGTGCCCAGTCTTTTGGAATTGGCTGATTCTTTGCGCTTCTGGAAGATTCTTATCCGCTGCTTCCTGATTGTCTGGGTCAAGTGAGTGTCAGGAACAATCTGCAAAGTGTTTTTCCCCCCAAAGGGACATCACTGTGTCCTCCTCCTGAAAGGTCATACGCTGTAATGCATTTGTCTTGTAAGAACGAACTTCAGGATGTGTTATTTGCCATTTGGGGAGTTTCTCTGGGTCAACCGGAAGAAGTCAAAGAGGCTGATGTCATGAACAGCACTAATACCTTCAGGTTTGAATCCTGCTCTTCCTCTGTACCTTTTCCCTGTTTGTGGCTGCAAGACGTTCTTGTAAATTGGTTCCTAAATCCTCAGGCCTCCCGTACGAGGTGTGCCGTGCCTCATGTCCCAGGTTTCTGGGAAAGCTTCCAGATCATCATGAACATGGTGGATGGTGCCAGGTTTTGTCTAGCGTGTGCTGGATTGTCTGCTTGCAGATTTCTGACGTGGCGCCTCCGTATCCGTCTCCTTAACTTGCGATCCAGGCCTGCAGCAGCAGTATCGCGAGTGTCAGGAGCTGCTGTCACTCTACCAGCAGTATCTGTCCCAACAGCATGAGACGCTCAGCCAGTCATGCTCCCAGCGCAAGGTGAGCTCTGCTTCCATTCACTTTCTGGGGCCATTAGTTGCTCCAATGCTGCCTTTTTGTTTGACAGGCTGATCTTTTAGTTCAGATTTCAAGTTTTATTGTCACTTGTTTGGAGGAGCACAGTGGAATTCTTATGCTATACTTGCGGGGTAGGTGACAGATGCATGGAGAAGACAATAAACAAACAACAAATAGGTGACGCTGTGGGGATGAGGATGTGCAAATAAGCACGAATGTAATAAAGAACTGGTCATTTCTCTGGATGTATATTTCAAAGTGAGAAATGTGCTGTATTTTATAGGCCAAGAACAAGCTATAAATGCATTAGAATCAGTTGCATTAATCCATACTTTGCCTATAAAAGAGCAGAGAGTATGTGAGTCATTAGTATTGCAGAAGTCTCGTTTTCTGCTAGTTGCTGTACAACACAAAATGCGTATTTTCGTTTAGTTAAATTTTAGATTTTTTTTTATATCTTCTTGTGGGCCTGACCGTTGTCGTGTAGATTAAACGCGGTCACACTGTAGCTCCAAAGTGAGAAACAAAAACCATGAAATTCCTTCACGTGAATTAACCTCGAGAGAAACACAGGAGGCGTGGAAGGTCTCTGCTCCTGCTGAGGCCGAGGCGGCCGGGAGGGGGCAGCTAAAGAAGCGGCCCCTGCGCTTAATCAGCGTCCTGTCAGCCTGCTGTTAGCCCATGCTAATGACACAGGTGCTCAGGGCCACGCAGTGCTGCAGTGACTGGAGGAGGACACTGAGTGGCTAATGGCCTGGCTTGCTGTTAATGTTAATGATGATACATGTGTTTTCCGGGGGAGCTCTGGGCACTGGGGGCTTCCTGTGTACAGCAGTCAGCGACCGCCGGCCATAAGCCGCTCGTCACAAAGCCTCGTTCTTTATTTATTTACTTATTTATTTATTTATTTATTTTCCTCTCCTCTGTGTGGGCACAAGTTTGTTTCGGTGGCTGCACTGTTGATGACTCAAGCCTGCACTGAGATACACTCCCCGTGGTGGAGCTGTGGAATGCCAGCAGTGATTTGTACTCATCCAGTCCTTTGTTAGCCTCGATCTGTGACTCTTCAGCCTGATGATTCTGTCTGTACCCATCGACTCTGGCCATGGCTGATCGGTGTCCTGCTGTCTCTCTTCTGTCTCTCATCTGGCCCTGCTTCCCTTAGCTTCTGCATGGCGATTGATTGTTGGTGATGTTCATGGTCTCTGATTTGAATATCTTATAGCATTTTAAATATACCAATCCTTTTTTTTTTTTGTGAATTTTAGATTTGCTAGGATTAATTTTTTATCCATACCATACCGCTCATTTAATTTATTCAAAGATAAAAACTAAGTGATTTTTTTGTTTTTTATTATTCATTATTATTATATTACATTATTTGCATAGAGGGCTCTGTTATTCAGATTAATTCCTGCTTTCCTCATTTCTGCTGTTGTGTTTTCTGAACAGAGGAAGGTTGCTGCAGTTCTGCTTATAGGCTGCAGTTACCCAGGTATCTTGCTTTGGGCCAGACTTGCTGCCCTGCAGTATCGGTTGGCAGTGGACAGGTCCTCTTCATGCACTGCATCCTTTAATGCCCTGCAGTCTCTACTCATTCAGTCAATATCTCGGTGTCTTCTATGCAGTTAATGCGCCATTGTTGGTGTTTTCCTGTTTTTCTTTTCAATGTTTACAAAATGTATTAAGTAGAATCTGTTTCATCATTAAGAGTTATAATGTGAAATATGGCGGGTGAATGGATGGTGGCTGATGGCTGGGGCTTCATGCACTGGTACCTTTTAAAGAGCTGGATGTTTTACTGGAGTGGTTTGAAACATCCTCCATTACAGATCTGCTCCACATGACTGCAGACTCCACTTCCTTTAACCTCTTCAGCAGGTGAGCACTGATGAATATATTCCTTCCGGTCCACGGAGAACAGCTGGGCATGACCGCTCCTACTTGGGCCTCTCTAACCATGAAGCAGTAAGAGGAGAAGGACAGAGAAGCTCCTGGACTGACACTCCCACCCAGCACCTGACCAGTAACTACCAGCCCAGTGACCCAGCTGAGAGAGCATCCCAATTCACTGGCCCTCAAGGAGTAAGACAAGGACCTCAGCATCCAGGAGCCTTCAAGTGTGCAGGGTCTGTCACTGTGGACTCTGCCTGCAGGAGCACCAAAGAGATGTGCGGTTCTTTCTGTTCTCCCCGTGAGATGAGTCCCAGGATAGAGGACGGTGGGCCAAGCTCAGGTGAGGTGGTGGCCACGGCACCCCCTGCTGGCCAGGAAGACTGGAACGAGAGGAGGAACCGTCTGCTGCTGCAGAAGATGGAGCTGGAGGTGGAGCGTGAGCGTCTTCAGGCTCGCTTAGCTCAGCAGGAAGATCGCTTACTCCAACAGAAGCAGCGGCTGCGTCAGTCTCGCCTGGAGCACAGCAGGTAAGTGCATGTTTGTTACCTCACCGCGGCTACGAGGATGACTCTGTCAGTAACCTCTACTCTCGCCGTACCCCAGGTTGCCAGATGTGCCAGTGGGGGGATCCGACAGTATCTCGAATGGGCTGGAGCTGCACAAGCAAAACACCTCACGCGGGTAAGATGGGGGGAATGTCTGCATGCTGTCACGCCTTTTCACAAACTACATTTCTGAGCACAGCTGTCCTACACCACTTGTTATGTCTAGCAAACACAAACAGCCAGTTCTGTTATGAACATGTTTTAGTCGAAGAAACAGAAGAATACTTCTGTTCTTTAGTATTGTGTCAGGAACAGCAAGAGGAGGGTTTTGGTGTCGAAGCCTCTGTGTGTAACCCGGCGCGTCCGATCTGTGCCTGATGCCTGGCTCCTGTCCACACATGCTCAGTGCTGCTGGCGTCTGGGCTTCTCTCTCCAGCTTAGTGAAGAAGTCAGCTCTCTGACAGGCTGTCATTGCTTCATGTCGCCCAGCACTTGATTAATGCTCCGCTCTGGCATAATTAGGAGGAATTAAAGGTGTTTAAAATGAGTTTTCTCCCTGAAGGAATCTTGCCTGACAAAGCAGTGCTGAATAATTCAGTCTCTTCAGCCTGTGAGCTGCTGGGCTTTTAGCTGTGGGGGTTTATCTGGGGGGTCCTTTCACTGGAATACCAGGCTTCAGTGTAGCTATGAGGAATTAGATGGGGATGAAGGAAAAGGGGGGGTGCAGTATGGTGGTAAGCCAAGGTAATGGGCCTCCTCCTCTGTCCTGGTGATCTGTCCCACTCTGCAGAGTTAGCACCTCGGCGGGGGGAATCAGAGCGGACAGTGTGTGTGGACATTTTTACGATTATTTCATGGGAGGCCTTGCTCTGTGTTTGCAGTGATTTGAGCTGTCAGACGGATGTGCGGGTTCTGTCTGTTGGCACAGCGGGGCAGCCAGCCACTGACAAAGGCTCCATGTCCCACCCTTCGGACCAGTCTCTGCATTCGGGGGGTAAGTACAGTGCGGCATGACAAGCCATACATATTACTCTGCTGTAACTGGCCTTTTAATTGACGTTGAAGCATGTGCAGATCCTAAGACTTGCACTGCAGATTTACTTTACTCCTGTCCTTCTGGATCATTTCAAGAAAATGATCATGAAACAGTTCCTGAGAACTGTACAACAGCTAGAAACAAAAATATAAGAATGCTGTACAAAGAGCCCAGAGCATCTGATTAATTTTCAGTGAAACTGAATGCACTGAAACTGAGTAGTTTTCATACAGTGTCTGCCATGTTTCCTGTAATGGGAATTTATGTAAACATTGATTGATGGAAGTCATTCAGGAGTGCGTATGCTGGTTGTTGAGATCAGGAAAATAATGATGTTTGCCTGGTGCATAAATTTAATGCTCCAGGGTTTTGTTCTGATTTAACATGAATCAGAACAAAACTGTAATATACTGATGTCAGAGGTTGATTCACTCCAGGAAACAATTCGTTTTCATCTGTGTATACTCTCCTCCACTGTGTTCTTGGGATTTCCTCCCTTTTCTGCTTCTAATTCCCCTTTAAATGAGTCACGCAGTAATGCAGTGTTTTATGGGATGTTCAGGGGCCGTGACCCTGCCCACTAAGCCTGCCGCCTCCCCTGTGGTGTCCAGTGTCCAGCTCCAGCCTGGTCCTTCTGCAGTGGATAAGACCCCCCGCCGCTGGTAAGCACCCGCTATTCCTGTTCTGGCCTCACTCTGCAAATCGCCGGTCCGGGTTAAGATATTGATCAGAGCTGCCGCCTAAATCAACGCTTGCCCTTCATTGCACTGGTACCAACAGGGCTTTGCACCTTGTTGTGATAGTGCCTATTGTAGAATACTGAACAACCATGAAATGTGGAATCATTGCTATGCCAAAAAGCGTTCCCCGTTATGTTAGAGATGCCTCCCATTCTGCTCGGAGAGCTGTGCATGCTGTACATGCTGTATTTTGCTGTGTTTATGTACCTGAAGGCTCTGCTGCTCGGTGATTAGCATTGTTACTTCACTTGAGTTTGAAGGCCATCCATAAGCTGCATTAAAAAGTTCTCTTTCTTTGTAACATGGATGAAACTCTAAACCAGGGCTCTTCAAACCTGGACCTCGATTCCAAATCCAGGCCTTGTTTTCAGTTCTCCCATGTAGTTTGTTTAATGATGACTGATTCTGATTGGTCAGAGGCTTCACACCTGACTCACAAGCAAAGAAAGGCTGGAAAACCAACAGGGCTCGGACCTCGAGGACCGTGATTTGAATAACTCTGCTCTAAACTCTGTTCCCTCTTCTATACTGTAGTGAGTCATCAACTGGTCCCTAAAATAGGATTTTATTAAGTACTCTTTTGAGGTAATACCTAGTGAAATCTAGTGCCTGCCTCACTCCAGCCATTGTAGTTCTCGTTTAAGTACATTTAGTATTTCAAGCAGATCGACAAAGTGCGTAATCTGCCACAGGTGTGTTACTGTGTGCAGCCGACTCATTTTCTCCTTTCTTCGGTCATGAAAGACGCTAGTGCCTGTGAAAGAGGGGAAAATGAGGGATAAAGAGGCGTGAATGCGGCAGTGGGGCCGTCTGACGGGGCCAGTGGGGGCTCTGCTCTGGAGCTGCCTGGTAGCCTCACGGTGTCATTAACTGCCGATTCGAGTCCAGTGGCTGTAATTGAATAGACCTCTTTGCTTGTGGGGGAGACGAGGCCGAATCCCTCCTCCAGTGATGAGGATGAATCATAATCTGCTGCGTGTCTCTCTGAAAGAAAGGCAAAGGTAATGTATTACCCATTTCCCCTTGAAGAGCACAGGTAATTACTGTAAGAGTGAGGTGTCTGCAATGCAGTGTCTCTCTTTACTCTGCAGTACTTTTTCTCTTGTGATTTTCTGGATTGAGTATTAGAAAACATTACTTTTGAATTTTGCAGCATTTTATTATTCTACAACAGTTTTAAATGTCATTTTGGTTTAAATGTAGGGAAAAAATAAGTTTGAGTAAAAAAAATAATAATAATAATTCCGTTACAAGCAGTTGATGCATTTTCCCAAACTGGAAGCAGTTGACTTGCCTGGATCTGGCCCAGTATTCTGGGTTTCCCATACGTGTGTTACCTTTTACCATTTTCTGTCCGGCTGTAAGATACAAGCCGAGTACAGTGATGTGTTTCTCAGCAGATTGCTGTACTGTCCCTGCACTTGCGCCCCCTTGTGGCTATAAATGGAAAAGGCCCTCAAAGGCTAATTACCACCCAGGCCTTGGCTGCACGGCTCTAGCTGAGAATACCAGCCACACAACGTGGTTCCTTCTAACAAGCACTGAAGAAATTCCATTTATGTATCGGTGTGTGATTAATATCAGATTGTGGTTTACAGTGGTCCAGTGCTGCATTATTCATCACGGGGGGGTTGGAGGATCATTGCAGCGTGTCATTTTAAAGGGCTTCTTCACAGCAGATGCTGGAAGGCCAAGCAGGCTGGCAAAGGCTGGTCTGGGTTTCTGGGAGAGAACGAGCTCTTCCAGTCACTGGCTGGTCATTTTGGAATTTTTAATATTAATAAATGTATCATTTCGTCCTTCTCCACCCCTGAGCAGGGTAACTGCTAAAGGCAGCGTTCCATAGGTCTGCTGGATACTGGGTGCGTGCGTACACACACACACACACACACACACACACACACAGAGGGCATCCTCAGAAGTGACAAATATAAAAGTTGGTCTTCCTATCTAAATGGGGACCGTCCATTCATTTCTATGGGAAAAACCATAATCCCAATTACGACACCCTTAACCTCTACCCATCCCTAACCTTAACCATAAGTAACCAACCCAAATACAAGACTTTTGGCATTTTTACTTTTTTGATTGCATTCACAGATTTTTATAAAACTGAGGTTATCCAAATGGGGACCTCAAAAGATGTCCCCAAAAGTAGGGAAATTTCAGTTTTTACTGCACTTTGGGGACAATTTGGTCCTCAAATGTGATCTATGCAAACACACACACACACACACACACACACGCACGCACGCACACACACACACACACACACACACGGCATCCTCAGAAGTGACAAATATAACAATGTGTTTTTATAGGGATTGACTTATGCTAGGCAGACTTTATACATAGTGCTTGCTACAGCTACAGTCAGAATGGCAGCTGCTATAGTGTAGGAATGGACATTTCTGACAGAATTGCTCATTTTGCCAGTTATTATTCTAACAGTATTCGATTAATGCCACATCCCAGACACACATGGAGAAATATGTGTGGAGTATGGGACAAAATATCGCATTTTGTATGGAAATCAATATTACTTGTTGCAAAATTAGAATGTAAAATGTTAAAAACTGAATAAATAACATTGAAACAAATTAAACTGAAGCATGAACTCAACTGCAGTATGCAGTGGCATACTAATGTTTAACAGTATGTGCCTTGGGCAGTTATGGCGAATGCCGATATCTTTATTTTTAAAATCACAATCCAAACTCTGTAATCCTAATACTTGGTTGGCTGTTTATGAGGGTAGTCTGTTATATACACTACCAGTTATAAGTTTTTTCCACACACTGAGATTTTCTACATTTGCATGTTACTCACTGAACATTTACTAAAAATACACTCAATATTCTTTTCTAACAAATACAGTATGTTCACCATTTGAGTACCTTTATTGGCAAGAAAATGTCACATCTTTGATTCATCAAAGTAACCTCCTCTAGCTGTTATAACAGCAGCGAAAATGAGGCATTCTTTCTACAAGGGACATTAAGTCCTGCTCTATTTCATGGGATGAAACGGTGAACTAGTGCATTTAAAGTTAAAGGACAGCCTAGGATTTGACTATGCCATTACCAACAACCAGTTAATAGGATGTCAGACCTGCCCTGTTACATACTCTTTCCATGTTATAAAGGAAACATGTTTTATTTGTCTTATATTTTCATTTATAGTTGTCCACTCAACTTTCCAATGCTTAACAAGAATAAAAAATCTGCAGTTTATAAAATAAAACCTGAGTTTTGACTGGTGTAAATCTGAATTCTGTAATCGTAATACTTCTCTGGTTTATAGCCTACTTAATTTATTTCCTTGCAAAATGAGATTCTCATTGCTGCAAAAGATAACTTTTAAAAGTAGCCTTACAGCTAACGCTACATGATACTGGAAAAATTTACATTGCATTATTTGAAGTCTTTGCAATAAATATTATGGTTGTTATAAAAAAAATTGAGTTGAAAATTTATCTAAAATAAACTAGTGCAAATACTGTACAGAGCTCATACAAAAACAGCGTAGGTAAACTTGTTTACAGTTTATTTGTTCTTATTAAAGAATGAACAAATCACAGCTAATTATACAGTGGATAATTATCACATTTTCTTATACTTATTTGATATTAAGATTTTTGTTCAATATTATGTGCATTCTCAAATATTTGAATGTTTGACAATGCTGACTCATTCCTACAATATAACACATGGTTCAGTTGTCTTATTCGTGTATTCTCAAGTTTTCTCTAAGGCTGTTATCGTGAAGGGCAGCTTAACCACATGCAAGTGAACATTATGGGATTATGGTTTTCATCCCTTTTGCTTTGTTTTAATAGTCATCTTCACCTTATTTGATGTCAGATTTTTCTCCATAAGTTTACAAACTTAAGTGACTAGTCAATAGGAAAAAATAAATGTTTTGAGAATTAAAACCAGTAGATATCATAGCTTTTTGTTGGCCTTTTGCTTCAACGGAACCTTCTGGTAATTAGAAAATCCTGTTGCGGTCAGTGCAGATTTTGAGGAAACTGACATGGTCACTGAAATTTCATATTACTGTTTGGGCTGTAAATTAAAAGGTCGTCCAGGACTTACACGTACAACCAGAAAGAATAACTAAACCACTAAACACAGGAGAGACCACTGCTTTTCATATGGTGGTGTGCATGCAAATCAGTATTTAAGAAACGCTATACATGAATGTGCTTTGGCCTCTTTATCCCAGTAATCACTGCCACTATTTAATGAGAGAGGTGCTTTCTGAAGGTCTCTGGATTTCCCTTATAATGTAATATTAAGCAAAAAATAAATGCAACAAAATACAGTCTGTGTCCTTAGTTAAAGGATTACCTTTGTGAGCGTTGTTATGATGCCGTATAATAAACATGGATTTAGATGTAGCGTTTAGCTTTTTGAGTTGCTCAGGATGTCTCCTTGCAGGTCCCCGTGAGATGCCGTCTAACCCTGAGGTCAGTGATTGCTGAACTGAGCACATGAGAGAGTAATGCCTGGCACATAAAGAGGGCAGTGTCTGTCTAAGCAATCCTGTCTCATGGCCACTCAAACCCAAACCACGAGGAGAGCCCTAAACACCCTGGCTAAATGTTTTCCTGCCAGGGCCATCAGTATTCTTCCTCCCATAATCTCCCCCGGTGTGAACTCCCCCACTCAAATTGTGGACCCCTTGTCTTGTTATAGATTCCAGCTCCCTGTAGGAGATGAATTATTCATATTGGCTGTGTCATCTGGTGATGGATGGCTGTTTGAGAGGGCTGTCTGTTAAATAAATCAACAAATAAAAATGCAAATGTTCAAATTTCAGAAAGCGAGCCAGACTGAAGCCCCTCCCATCCGCACTGATACTGCCATGCAAAGATAGATTTGCTTTGTTTAATTTTTGGTGCTTACTGCCTTTTGCACCTATATTTGTCGTTTGGTGATGCTGTTTTGTCCTGATTTGTTACATCGTTTTCTTCACCTCTATCGATAACCCTGTACTGAGTAAATGATTTTTTGAAAATTGGGCCGTTTTACCGGAATAAAGGGGGAAATATCTTTTCTTTTTTTTTTTTGTATACACATCAATCTTATTTTCAGATCTTTGTTTTGGGGGGAGACATAATGCGGTAGCAGGTATGTTAGTTTGCCTGCCTCTGCATTCATGTGTTCATATTATCTCTGGAAGTCCTTTATATATTCATACCCTGCATCACCGGCAATTCAGGAATGCAAAATGCAAATGAGCCCTGCTTAAAATGAGCAGGGAGTTGTGTTAGCAACATCAGAGCGGCACGACTGTGGAGTTCATGTTTTAAATCTGAAACATGCTTGTCCGTCTGTGTACTTACTGAATAATTTATCATGGAGCTAGACTGCTGGTTTGAATCTTTATTAGCTTTCTCTTACTATTCATTTATTTATTCATTCTCTTTTTATTCATGCATATTTCCACAGGACGGCCTGTAAGTAAGTTCTGTGTGTTCCACTGCACCTGTAATCCAGGGCTGGTGTATTTCTGCAGTTGATAATGGATACATCTGCAATTTGCAGTTATTTATTTAGCAGATGTCTTTGCTGCAAAGAGACATACAAACGAGGAGAGGTCAGAAGGCAGGATCATCCCCAGAGGGCTTTGCTCCAGGGCCCAACAGATCCCTAACTAACCCGCTAAGTTACACCCGCAGAAGACATGGACATCTATTCCTCATTCAGGAGCATGTGCTCATTCTGCTGCTGGTGCTCCTTAGTCTTCACATGTCCATCATTTTGTTCTCTGCCATCAAATAGTACAATAGTTAAACTGAGCAAAGGCCCCAGAAAGCATTGCAAATCAAAGCTAGTGCGTATTATGGACTATTATGCGATGAATGTAAGATTGTCTGAATGTAGTGTTGTGTATTGTGTGACAGATAGATATGTTGATGGCGATCATGAAAGGCTTCTCAATATAATATAACATTTTGGGGTTTTACCTCTACATGTAGCAGTGGACTGTGTTTGCATTAGAAGGGGTCGTTGGTCTTAAATCCACAACCACAATTTATTCTGCTATGGTGAAAATACTTATTCAGAGGCTTGTGCTCATTCTGCTGTTAGTGCTCCATAGTCTTCACAAGTCCATCCATTGTTCTCTGCCATCAAAAAATGGATTAAAAGTCAATTCCTCTCTTCCTCCATGGAGAAGTCCGATCCAGCCTGCGCTACCGCCCAGCCGCCCAGCAGGGATCTATCCCTGAGGTCACAGACCTGGTTAACATTCCACCTCTTGCTCTCATTCTAGTTCAAATTGGCTCCCTTTGCATGTCAAGGATCTGATTCTCCCAAAGCCAATTTAAAAGAATTCATCATGTAATCTACAGGCATTTCATCTGGCTACGATGTGTCTAACTAAATATGCCGACGTGCTTTCTGTATTTCTTTATAATGTGAATTTGAGTGATAAACTGAAGCTAGATTTTTTTTTATACTGCAGCTCACCACACATCACACAGCCTTGCAGTTTGGACTCCTCCCTGATTGAATTGCTGGAAGTGATCAGCCCCATCTCTGGCAGGGACCGCAGCGGGTACCTTACCCAGCAGCATCTGAAGCAGCCTTCCATGGCCTGTCGAGTGCGCGGTGTGCCTGCCTCGGCTTCGTTTGCCCCTCCTCGACCTCCACAGCACAGCATGCAGGAGGACCCAGAGGAGAGTCAGCTTCTGGAGGAGATCTTCTTTATCTGTTAACACAAAAAAATGCTCCCACCCCTCGTCACAGTGAACAGCTGCTGCTTGTCTGCTACGCAGATACTGTCAGCCTAACCCTGAAGCTTCACGCTGCCTGCAGATGTGCCGGAGACTTTTGAACTGATCACCTACATGTATTGGCTTGTGTCCTTATTTTCAGCTTTGTCGTTTATCAGGGAAAAATAATGAGCAGTCCAAGCATTTACTCTAAACGTATGTACGCGTTTTGTGTACGTGCTTCTCATTAATTGAAAATCGCTGGGTCTTCTGGAGTCTGAAGATGGTATCAGTGAATTATGTTTGTGCTCTTTTTGGTTACCTTGAAATAGTTTTTGATGGCTTTTCTTGTTACCTAAAACTTTATCATTAAACTTGTTTTTATTCATGTTTTTTTAATACTGAATATAATATGAAACATCCCAGAGAGTTAAATGATAATTTCCTTCAATTTGAGCGAGTAAAACCATTAATATAGTAATTGTGTAGCCTGCTATGTAGGTGCCAGATTTCATGCGTTTCCTGGCTATTTGTATAATGACCAGCTTGTGTAATCTTGTGTCAGGATGCGGTATTCCGAGACTCCTCGCTTCCGCATCACTCAAGCTCTTAATTATTTAATTGGTTGAATTATGATAAATTAAAGCAAGCAACTACATTGTCAGTTCATATGAGGTATTTTGTTTAGAAACACCGAGAAAAAAATCTGCACATTAAGACTATAGGGATCATGTACACAAGCCCTGTGGTATGTTTTGTCATATTACAGTTTATGATGTACGATTACAAAGCAAGTAATAGCTACACGTGGTATCTCTAGTAAAGATGTCATTCAGTACAGCTTTCACATGGAGGATCCTCAGAATTTCAGTTTCTCATAATCCTTAAATCCTTAACACTGTCTGATCAGGTGGAAAAAGAATCTGTCACTAAGTACCTAATTGAATTAACTGAGGATTTCAAAGAACAATTGGAGAAGCACACTGCAATGGAGAAGCACACTGAAATGGAATGTTGCTAACAGATCTATGGACATTATGATCATTCTGTTGTAAGGCAGTCAAACCCCATTATTAAATCTAAAATATCTCTTGAAAAGTAGACTAGTTACTAAACTGGGAGAAGCAGTTAAGACTGATTTGCCATACTGTAATTCATAGACTTCTATATGTACACTATATTGCCAAAAGTATTGGGATAGCCATCCAAATCATTGAATTCAGGTGTTCCAATCACATCCATAGCCACAGGTGTATAAAATTAAGCACCTAGGCATGCAGACTGCTTTTACAAACGAAAGAATGGGTCTCTCTCACGAGCTCAGTGAATTCAAGCATGGTACCATGATAGGATGCAACCTGTGCAATAAGTCCAATTGAAATTTCCTCGCTACTAAATATTCCACGGTCAACTGTTAGTGGTATTTTAACAAAGTGGAAGCAATTGGGAACAACAGCAGCTCAGCCACAAAGTGGTAGGCCACGTAAAATCACAGAGCGGGGACAACGCATGCTGAGGCACACAGCGTGCAGAAGCTGCCAACTGTCTGCAGAGTCAATAGCTACAGACCTCCAAACTTCATGTGGCCTTCAGAAATGCAAAGCTTAGGATGCAGTGGTGTAAAGCACGGCGCCACTGCACTCTACAGCAGTGGAGACATGTTCTCTGGAGTGACGAATCACGCTTCTCTGTCTGGCAATCAGATGGACGAGTCTGGGTCTGACTGCATTGTGCCAAGTGTAAAGTTTGCTGGAGGGGGGATTATGGTGTGGGGTTGTTTTTCAGGGATTCGGGCCCATAGTTCCAGTGAAAGGAACTCATAATGCTGCAGCATTCAAAGCCATTTTGCACAATTTCATTCTCCCAGCTTTGTGGGAACAGTTTGGGGATGGCCCCTTCCTGTTCCAACATGACTGCACACCAGCGCACAAAGCAAGGTCCATAAGGACATGGATGAGCGAGTCTGGTGTGAAGGAACTTGACTGGCCTACATAGAGCCCTGACCTCAACCCGATAGAACACCTTTGGGATGAATTAAAGCAGAGACAGCAAGCCAGGCCTTCTCATCCAACATCAGTGTCTGACTTCACAAATGCTCTTCTGGAAGAACGGTCAAAAATTCCCATAAACACACTCCTAAACCTTGTGGACAGCCTTCCCAGAAGAGTTGAAGCTGTTATAGCTGCAAAGGTTGGGCCAACTCCATATTATAGCCTATGTATTAAGAATGGGATGTCATTAAAGTGCATGTGTGTGAAAAGGCAGGTGTCCCAATACTTTTGGCAATATAATGTATATTGGACAATACTGATTTTTTAAATATTAATGGAAGACTATGGAGCTCTTGGATTTTACAAAGACAAAACACATACCTGCTCAAAATATGCTAAAACAAATAATATACGAAAAATAACCTTAATGGAATTAACGACTAATTCAAATTGTGTGTTTCAGATACATGATATTTAAGTCTCATTTAACCGTGTGTATCGTATAAGCAGATTGTGTTTCTGTGCTGGTGATTAGCTGTGAATCACTCTGTGCTGCAGGAAATCACAAGGGGTGACGAGGCTTAATTCTAGACTGTGCTTTATTTGGGGCTAAGCTGAGACGCGGCGCCATTCAGTTAATTACATTAAAAGTCCAGGAACCAAAGGAAATGGGCAGTTCAGAGAGAGGGCGGGTTGAGGGTCGGAGTGACATCACAAGAGGCGTCTCTCATGGTAACAAGTGGGCGGTTTCAACAAACGGTGCTCACAGACCCCATGTATCTCATTCCCATTTGATTGGTTTTAAATGTCTTTTTTTTTCTTCTTGATACTTCTGTCCCTGTAAACACTATACAGTGTGTATGTGTGTGTGTGTGCGCTTGTTTTTGGAGCCCAAGGACTCATCCATAGGAGAAGCAGTACACCATTGTTAAAGACAGATTCCATCAGACAATATGTGATTTACATATCAACAGCTATGAACTGATTTGGTTTTTCAGAAGGCTGAACACAGGCTGAACACAACCATGAAATATATAGAAGATACGAGGTACGATGGCGTAACAGACTATGGTCTGTGAGCTGACTGTTCAGGAGTGGGTGAATTTGATTGTGTAAATTTCCCTATATAAAAATATTATGCTAATAGAACTTCACCATTTAGGGATTTTCTTCAAATATTTACATGTAAAACAAACAGCCAAATACAAATCCATGTACGTGACTTTCAGGATGTTTGAAATCTCAAGCCAGAAATGACCAAATAATTAATAAGCTTATTAATGCATTATGTGTTTTTCATGTTCTGCACGAGGATACTCTTCAAAATATCTTTGGCCATATTAAAATAGGGTTTAAACTCTTCATAAAGATAACTCTCATTTCTTTTTTTCAAGGAAGTAGTTGAAGGAGTTGTATTAGTAGTTAGATGGGGTAACGTAAGGAGCACTCTAAAGTTATCTCACCCGCTGTACAACAGGCACCCATACCATAGTCTGTTCGCAGACACATGCCTCAACAGGACACTCTGCAGCTTGAAAGGAACATGAAACAGTGGCCTAAAAATGCAAATAAATAAATAAATATTTAAATAAATAGATATGCACACACAGATTCATATTTTCTCTGGACTGATCTCTCTGACTGACCTGTTGTTAAATACCTGGATCAAATGTTGTTTCTTCATGCCAAACAGCTCTATAACACCTTGCTATCTGTTTTTAGAATTCATTACTCTTTTATGTTTTTTCAAAGTATTTAAAGTTTTATGTATACCCAGTCTTTGTAGGTAGAAGTAAAAGTCCTATAAAATATGCAAACCTATTTACAGGAAAAAACCAGCAACAAAAAAAAAAACATTTACATATATTAATCAGTTTATGTATATAATAAAACCTCAGCTCTGTTTCTCAATAATTTTTAAACTTTTTAAAACTTTTTTTTTTTTTTTTTTTGTAAACAGTTGCAGCCGTTACATAGTAGAGCTGATCGAGGGAGGGGTAGGGATTTGTTGAGTCTTTGATGTGAAATGAGGTTCCTTGACATGCCCCCAGTTCATTGGCCTAAAAGTAGAGCCCCATCTTCTTCAGATGTGACGTTTGTGACACCAAAGTTGCTGTACGCCCAAATGCAGAAATCCACACGTTCCTGTGGAAGTCTAGCTAACCTGCATGAAGACACACCGGAATGGTAGTGGTGTGGAAGAACAGGGATTCCAGAACTAATGTGGCTCGGATTATCTGCAGGTCACCAGAAATAGAGCTGAATAGAAAGAGTGTCAGGGTCAGTCCATTTACAATGTGTATCTGAAGGTCTGAAGTGGGTGAAGGTTTTCACTGACGGACCACAGCTTGTGATGGCGGAGAAGCAGATGGTGCAGGTGCTGGAGGCACGAGGGATTGAGGGCTTAGGAACCAGGCAAAGAGGGATGCAGCAGTTTTACCAGCTTATTTTCTGTGTTTGTAAGGATGCATACCGCAGAAGCTGAGGCCACCTTCCGTCATAAAATAAAAGGAACTTCACTGCAGTTGTGACATCATGAAACCCCCCCTGGGCTGATAACAGGTGCTTGAGGTGGCAGTGGGTCTTGCCACAAGTGAGGGGGTGGGGGGTGGCTGGCACAGGTTCCCAGCATGCATCTCTACAGGAGAAAAAAAAAGCTCCTATGATATGTTCCTTTTGGTTCAAGTTTTAAAATACAGCAAGTCTCAGTGCTCTGTGTATGTGTATGCAGATCGAAGAAGAAAAAGATATGTTTAGGACAGAGTGTAAGGGACCCCCATTGCGCAGGGTCTCTCAGACCTGCCTCTCAGAAGATGCCTCCTGCATTCTGAAATAGCTTATACACATATGTACAGGTATTCATATATATACACACACAACACATACACATGTATGTGTGTGTGTGTATGTGTGTGTGTGTTTGTGTGACTTTCCGTAGAGAGTAGAATGCCTGCATTTGGAAGCTGCCAGAATACCTCTTCCCAGTTTAGTAAAAGCTGTTTGGCAGAGCACTGTTCCAAAATCTAGCTAAAATCTACATAAGAAATTACAGTTCTACATGAGAAGTTCAACAGCTGTTCTATGTACATACAAATACACCCACACACACACGCGCACATACGCACATGCACGCACGCACACACACCCACACACACATATAGGTTTATGGATAAAATATATGTATTCATATATGTGTTTGTTATATGAATACTTTAAGCATGTATATACTTGTTATATATACTTATATATATGCACTGTAAATATAAATGTTCATATCCTTTGTACACATGTGTATGCTATTATATTTTGACGATCAGATATCAAATTATTAAATACGAGGCTGAAAAGTGTCACAACCTCCCCCTGCAGCCTATATCCCATTGGAAAGGAAGTGAAAACAGAAAAATAAATATTCTGATATTGAGCTGTAACTGTAAACTAGTGTGGTGAGTCTCCTCACAGGCAACCATTTAAAATAGTGTAAAAAGCATATCAGCAATATATAGGTATGTATATATGTATATATGCATATATACACATTGCATATATACACATATAGGAAATCTTGCATTTGCCTTTTTTTTAAACATAGCTCTTCAATGTGTTTAAACAGCAAAACAGATGCAATGGTCCAAATATTTTAAAAGTCTTTACATGATAAAAATGTTTGGTCTTTTGGTCCCTAAAACAACTAAGGAATGACAGGTAAGACTCCCTGGAGACCGTTGCTACGGCTGGCTGCAGCAGTGGCATCCCCTGGAAACGGACAGGCACTCCGAGTAAAGATGGCCAACCCGAATCGCATTGAGTTTTATGTCCTGAAATTTCACGCTCCCTTGAAAAGTTTCCTTTTTTTTTTTTTTTATCAGAAAAGCAGTTATTTTTTCCTTTTATTAACATCTTCTAAAATTCTTTAAAAAGTTATTTTCTCAATCACGTCTTGCGTTAATCATTTTCCCCACGCATCTCCCTTCAAACATTTTCTTGCGAATATAGCCAGGATATGCCAGCGGTGTCTTCGTCCCATTCTGCTCCACGATTCAGTTCATATATGTATACACTGTTTTGTATCTTTGTTTTAAAATGGCAAGGATGCTTCTGCATGGTCCAGAGAAGTCGAGATATTGAGGCGGAGGGCTCTTCTCGCTCCTCAGCAGTTCAATGGTAGTGTTCACTTTGCTGGATTCTCTGATATCTTCAGATTCAGTCTTTTTCTGCAGCAGTTCAAATCCAGCCCCTTTCGGTTCTTTGTATGTTCTGTTTTTGTTTTAATGTTTTCGACGTGCTCACCAGCTCCATTAAACCTAGGTGAATAAAAAAAACCTTTAATCTGTATGCTGCACAGTTTACAAGTACATGCTGATCTCTAGAACCACTGAAATACTAACTTTGATGGCTGTTTTCCATTTGAATCCCCTTTTGTGTTTGATTCCCATTTGCTGTAATCCTTTGCATTTTGATGTGTGGCCTTTGCTACAGCAGTCTGCTTTGCACAGATTTACATATACAGAACCAGGGCCAAACATGTTCTGTTAGTGCAGTTCTTTGGCATCCTTGCCTGACACTATGTCCAGAAGTATGTACGAGTGGTTGGAGTGCATGTTTCATGGTATAGTACTGAAAGAATGCAAAACTGTACTATGCAAAGGTTAACCTGAGATATTCCTGTAGCTATAAATCACTGAAAACACCAGAAACACCATGTAGTCCTTCCTGCATCCAGAGGATATGGCTGGAAGTAGGATCCTAATGACTGCTGGATGAAGATAGCAGAGTCATCAAAACCCACGATTAAACTTTAACTCGAGGTACAGGAATGACAAGCCCTCATTTTGTAGCCAGATGATCTTATTGAAAACTACCACATCCACTTAGTTTCAGTTATTCACAATCATACCCTAAATAAACTGCACTAGTGCCAGTTATTCACAATCATACCCTAAATAAACTGCACTAGTGCCAGAGTCAGGTAACCAAATTAGCAGGAGGCCCACCTGTCTGTCCCTGTGTGCTCTGGCAGTAATGTGCCCCAGGATGGGTGTCCCTCGGGGTCAATAGGGCCGGTTGGCATCCTTTGGCCTCTTTAGCTGCACTTTAAGCCGCTTCATGCCGATCTGAAACCCGTTCATGGACTGGATGGCGGCCTGAGCACTCGCGGGGTTGTCAAAGCTCACAAAGCCTGCAGGTCCGCAGTGTAGGCAAGGAATCGGGGAGGGGAGAGAGAGATAATGGAAGAGAGGTGGGGAGACACAAAGGATGAGAACATGCAAGAAAAGTTTTAAGAGTAAGAAGATGTGATGGAGACAAAGAAATGAGGTGAAGGGAATATTGAAGAGAGAGAAAAAAAACAAGAAAAAAAATTAAATGCCAGTCAGGATGAAACCAAAAGAAAGAAAAAATGTGGTGAAGAGAAGAGAGGAAAAGACAATGGTCATTTTAATTTAAAAATCAGGTTTTCTTTCGCTTTGTACATAATCAGTGTTAATAAAAGATGTGAAGCCTTGCATCATATCCAGTCAGTGGCCTATAGCACCATCACAGCACATGACATCCACAGCACATCCAAAGCACAGCACACTGTTACCCTGACACCAACCTGCCCAGCTGGCAGGATGCAGGATCCCAGCCCCTCGTTAAGCACAATACTCAGCTTCATCAACGTTACAATAACCCTTTAAGCCTTAGGGGCTTATGTCTGCTGGGCTTTATGATGCCCTGCTAACAAATGATACTTCATATTCACTCATAAATCAATGACTTTAGTGACTTAATTTCTTTAAAGGTGACTTGTTTGGCTGACCTGCAAAACACTTATACTACAAAATAATCCAGCTATTAATCTGATGTCCCAATAGAACACAGTGTATAATGTTAATTATTACACAACATTACATTAAATAGGTCTATTATATTCCTTCTCTTAGCATGCATAATTTCATAAATAACTATATAAATATTTTATAAATCATAATTAATAATTGCTTGGTTACTCATCAGATTTATAGATTTATTTTTACTGTCTTACATATGAATAACACAAGCACAGTAAAAAAAGTAGCAGTAGCAATAAAAATAAAAATATATAATACCTCAAAACCCAAATACTTTTTGAGCAAATGTGTTGGTATAAGAATGCACATCATCCCTCTATTCTTTGCAAAGTGCAAACAAAAACCCTTATTGTTGGTGTAAATTGATAAATAACACTCATTTTGACTCCAAAAGATGATCAAATTAAGACCTGAAAAATAGTGTGTGATTAACACCATTAGTCATTAAATAACTTAAGCACAGTGCCATATTTTCATTTTTTCATCTGTTCTATAGTGATTTTCATCTCACAATAACAGTCATTACTATAGTGGCATGAGTAGAATGATAATTGAATATTAAGGACAGCATGAACAGCTGGGCTTGTTTATTGTGAATATGCCCTCATTTTTGACTTTACAAAAAGGGTGGAGCTCAGGGTTTTCAAAAGAGTTGCTACATATTTTTCTAAAGTAAAACAGCAAACAAAGAACTCACACACCAGATTTCTGTATAGCAAAGAATGTATGCATCATAAAATACAATCAAACAAAATAAAACATGTTAAACATTATAATTCCAATGATAAGTTCAAATGTTTTAAGTGATCCAGAGATTTGCTCACTAACGAGTGTAGAATAAAAACATAATTGCACAACCGCAATAATTCATGGGGGTTATCTTTTAGACCATTAACCTGTGAAGAATCGATAGTACAGCACAGTGACGATATTAAAAGTAATAGTAATAATATTATAATAAAAAATCCTTCATGTTCACATCATTCAGAAAATATTCAGTATGTAAGTATATTTGTTTTGAAAAGCTGATTAAAGATTCAAGGAACATCCATGCAAAACTGGAAAGTTTTACTTTCACGACTCATAAAAGATTCAGAATGTGCTGTATTAGCAGCATCTCCCCATCAGAAACCTAAAGTCATGTTTCAAATACAGGAGACAGATACTGAAACAGAATGTCATGGGACAGTATTACATGATACAACACGATAACACATTACAACTTCAATAAATTTCACAACAGAATCTGTGGTAGGAATGAAATCTGACACGTTAATCAAACGTTGCTCCTCTCCTTTAGCCCAGAGTCTCCTTTCCTATATGTTTCCATAATACATTCATAATGCATAGTGACTCATAGCTTTATTATTGCTTTTGGCATTCTTTGACTTTATGGTCCTGATTGCTGTCATTGCTGTTATTGTTGAAGTTAAATGGAAGCTGTGAGAGATAGTTAAAAACTGTAAGTTTTCTCCAATCTGCAAAATTTTGGCGGACTCTATACCGGCACACTGACAATTGTCCCTCGTTAAGACTGACATCAGTATCTAAGCTGGTCGCATGTTCTGTAGACTTCCATTCCTCTCTGCCCTACAGTATGTCCCCTACTTGTCCTGTGGTTTTCTGTCACTTCAGTTTGCTTGCTTAAATCTGGGCTGTGCTAAAGTGAAGTAAAAAGTTATTAGTGCAATAAGTGTCTTTACGGGTTTTTATGGTTTTTACCCACCAAAGCATTTACTTTGGTTTGTCGCCCGATCCACAAACACTTTGGAGGAGATGACATTACCGAAAGGCAGGAACATCTGCATGAGCTCGCCGTCCCCAAACTCCTGAGGGAGGTGGTAGATAAACAGGTTACACCCCTCTGGCCCTGGAGGGATAGAGAGAGGGACACAGAGAAAGAAAAGAGCAAAGAAGAAAGAGGGAGAGAAAGAGAGGGAGAGTGAGGGAAGTTGGGGTCAGGACAGAACAGTGAAAGAGAAAACGAAAATGAAACTGAGAAGAGCATAATGTGAGAAGTATAGGTGGTAGAGAAGTGAAAAATGGATAGAGTGGGGAAAGGAGGGAAAAGAAACATGGGCAGCAGTAACAGTGGAAAGGGAGGCGAATGAAAAGGAAGAGGACAAAGGACTAGAAGTACTCACAATGAAGACAAACAGATATGTTTGTTTATATTCACATGAGTGTGTGTGTGTGTGTAAATGTGTGTGTGTGTGTGTGTGTGTGTGTACGGGGTGCTGCAGGTCCTTTCACCTTCTCTCTGCTGTTGAGGAATGATTGCAGGAGCCTGGGGAAAAGTCTGGCTGATCTGTCCATATGCAGCAGGATAGGCTGCTGAGACAGAAAGACACAGGGTCTATATCCAACAGGTACCACACACACACATATACACACACACACACACACATAGAGCTTTGTAATTATATCTTTGTGGGGACTCTCCGTTCATTTCTAAGGGGAAAACTGTAATCATAAGATGATGACATTAACCCTTACCCAGCAATAACCCTAACCATTAGTAACCAAACAAAATATGAGACTTTTGGCATTTTTATTGCATTCACTAATCTTTGTGGGGACCTGAAAAATGGTCCCCACAATGTAACATAAACTTAATCCACACACACACACACCTGCGTATTGCTGGACACCTGCATAGGCCTGCTGTAGTGGGTCAGGTGCAGTGGGACTCTGTGCTACTCAGAGACAGAAAGAAAGACAGAGAAGCAAGATTAGAGGCAGGAAAAAGACTGAGAGTGAGACAGCTGGGCTGGTCTACAGCTCTGTGTGAGGCTGGGGCTCAGGACATCCTGTCTCTTTAATCAAATAAACTGAGGATGAGAGCAGCGGGCTGATCCATGGCTCTATGTGAAGCTCAGGACTTCCTGTCTCTCCAACACTTTCCTAAACAGATGGAGAGTGAGACAGGGGAGCTGGTCAATGGCTCAGGGTGAAGCTGGGGCTCAGGACTTCCTGTATCTCCAATACACCCCCAAACAGATGGAAGGTGAGACAGGTGAGCTGGTCTATGGCTCTGTGAGAAGATGAAACTCAGGACATCCTTTCTCTCCAATACTTCCCCAAACAAACTTAGGACTAGACCAGCGGGCTGGACTATGGCTCTGTGTGAAGCTGGGGCTCAGGACTTCCTGTCTCTCCAATACACCCCCAAACAGATGGAAGGTGAGACAGCTGGGTTGGTCTATGGCTCTGGGTGAAGCTGGGGCTCAGGACTTCCTGTCTCTCCAATACACCCCCAAACAGATGGAAGGTGAGACAGCTGGGTTGGTCTATGGCTCAGGGTGAAGCTGGGGCTCAGGACTTCCTGTTTCTCCAACATTTTCCTAAACAGACTGAGAGTGAGACCAATGGGCTGATCTATGGCTCTATGTGAAGCTCAGAACTTCCTATCTCTGCAACGCTTCCCAAAACAGACGGAGAGTGAGACAGGTGGGCTGGTCTATGACTCTGTGAGAAGATGGAACTCAGGACATCCTTTCTCTCCAATACTTCCCCAAACAAACTGAGGACGAGACCAGCGGGCTGGACTATGGCTCTGTGTGAAGCTGGGGATCAGGACATCCTATCTCTCCAACATTTTCACAAACAGACTGAGGGCGAGATACACAGCTAGTCTATGGCTCTGTGTGAAGCTAAAGCCCAAACAGCTGGAGGGTGAGGCATCCATGAAAAGGGTCTGAGGAATGTTTCAGCAACAATCTGGCACAAATGCACTTCGAGAGTAAGAATGCACATCTCCACACAACATATCAAACAGGCACTGCACTGCAGCTACCGATTCTTACTACAACACTAGATGTTACAGATGTCATAGTCCTCCGTCTCTATGGGGTTGTGGTTTTTGTTGAACGGCAAGTATTTTGGATTATTTTTATTTACATGCTTATCCACAGTTAAACCATTTAAGCTTGTGATGCTGGTTATAACTGTTATTTTTGTTATGGCAGATCTAGATGCCTTAGGTACAATACAATACAGAGCCATTTAAACCGTCAGCATTAGCCTGAAAAGAGGGATGTGCATGCACTTGCCTGAACCGTCACTAGAACATACAGAAGCGACATTGTATTTTATAGCTACATTGTATTTTATAGCTACATTGCTAATGCAATGGTCAAGTGGCCACACAATCACAATAAAAAAACACAGTTCTGAACATAAGACTAACAAAACACCACGATAATATAGTGATTTGTAACAGAATGACACTATTATGCACATTCCAAAAGGACAAAACTACACATCAGAGAAACAATGCCACACACCAATACTCCACTGCAATAATGCTACCACCAGATGGGTGAAGGGTGACAACAGAAACTTCCCAAGTCTTGGGAGCATTGAGTCGGTACGGGGTGGGTACCTTCATTTAGGGAGGACAGGAAGCAGCTCCCCTGAACCCCAAAACAACTCCGCTGGGCCACGCCCACTTCGCCCTTCTCCGAGTCCTCTCTAAATATGATCTCCTGCAAAACTGTGAGACATTGGACAAGCATTTCCTCCTTTGTGGTGCACAGTGGACACACAGACGACAAGCAATGCAGAACTGCCAGCGACATGGAAACTTAGCCGTCAGGATACAGTGTACATAACACGATTGATTACCATCAAACTGTGCATCTCCAGAACAAGCAGAAGCCCTTAAAAAAGAGTTTTGTCAAAATGGATTGAATGTCCAAATGGCCTTGATACGTATGAGCTTCTATGGTCATATGGACTAAACTAGACTTAGTTGCTCTGCCAAGTATGGTGGACAAACAGCCAGATCTCGACTTCTCCCATGTCCGGTTCTCTCTCTCCAGAACTAAACACCAGGTGTGGAGCTGTGCAATCCCTCTCACACATAGTCATGAACAAATACAGTGACATTTCTTGTGCCGGATTTGCTATTGACTTTTTAGGTTCTGGAAATTTCTTTGAGTTATTTTGCAGACTCACACCCAGAATGCACATGGAGTGTGATACAGGCAGCCGTGGGGCATTGAAACTCACCAGGATATGGGTGAATCCCATTGGTGAAAACAGCCTCAGCGGGAGGCTGTCCATTTGCCTGGGGTGGGGGTAACCCGGTGAAGCCATTGACACTGATGGGGGATGGTATGCTGGTCACTGCTGGGGGAGCAATGCCTGGAGGTGTACTGCCACCTTAACACAGGAAGGGCAAGGATGGGAGAAAGGGTAGGGGAAAACAAACAAGCAAACAAACAAACAAACAAACAAACAAACAAAAGCAGTATGTAAAACAAAAGGGAAGAGAATGGAGGGAGAAAGGGGGAAAAGAGAGGATAAGAACAAATGAGAAAGGGTGAAATACTATAAAGAGAAATGCAGGGACTGAAGTGAAAGTGACTTTCTTGGTGCAGGCAGAGAGGGGGCACCTGAGGTGGGGGTCAGGGGTCCTGCAGGCAACCCATTAATGGTGGCCATGTGCTGCATCTGGGCGGCGGCGAAGGCGGCCATGGGGCTCAGGTAGCCCCCCTGGCCCACCGACGCCATCAGCGCAGCCTGCTGCTGGACCTGCTACGAAAGGGGAGGGGGGGGGGTGAGGTACGTCCAGGGAAATGCCCCCGTCAGGGCAAGAAGCTGCTTAGGCTGTCATGGCATCACAGCGACAGCAAGCCCTACATATGGACACTCGTCTCTGCTGACAAACACAACTTCTGCAGTGCGGAAAACTTCACAACCGTGGAATGGAGAAGAATTTTAAAAAACACAATCTGCACATAGCAAACCTATACAGAAGCATTATCAAGCCAACAAAACTTGTAGTCATTACACATAATCTGCTGTTTGATATGGGAAGACAGAAACAGAAAAGTGTAAGAAAATTCACATTTTAATAAATGATCTGATCATTATCATTATACTGTGTTTCGTTTATATCGAAAACACTTCAAAATATTTGCCTTTTCCTGAAAATAAGTTTACAGGGACTTATTCATCGTAGCAAAGCCAACCTGGGAACATGGGAGAACAGTACAGTCTACCCTTCTGAATAAGCGTTTAGTGTGTAGTACTCAGCATCAAATGCCGCCCATGTTTTTGGTAAATATACAGATGCAGGAAGAAGGGTTCACACATTAGCCTTGGCGAGCAGAAAGTGATGATGATGATGATGATGGTAACAGACTGGCTCAGAGGAGGAGGCCGAAGGGTAACCCTGGTGCGAGGGCAGCCCGGCTCCTTCACTTACTGCCTGGGCATAGGCACCGTAGGCCCCGAACTGTAGCGCCATGGGGCTGAAGATGCCCATCTGTCCCGCCATCTGTTGCATGCGCCGCAGGGTTCGCTCTTTGTCTGTGTCCGCGAACTTGACCACTAGACTGGAGGAGGCACCCTGGTGCAGAAACACGCATGTGAGCACGCAGAGTGCACACGGGGTGCTGGTCACGACCGGCCGGGCCACACCCGTGCTATTCTCCGCGGTGATACATCCCCCTGACCCACTGAGGGAAGCTGTTAACGCGGCCAAGCACGGATATAAATACTGGTCAAACAACCACTACAGTTATTCAATGGGTATAATAGTAAGTTAACAGGATGAGAGCACCTCAGAGTGTGACTGTTACTATCTATACTCACCGGCATGGTCTGGCTGCCGTGTAGAGCGCCGATAGCTGCCTGAGCCTCAGTGTGAGAGGAGTATTTAACAAAGGCACAGCCTGAGGAGCACAGGGTGGCAATGTGCACAGGATGTAAGTATACTCAAGCACATTAATACTTCTACAGATGCATGCCAAGCATGTAAATGTAAAAAAAAAATAGAAATATTAAAAAGAACAAAATATTTAAGAAAATAAAAGAGATAACGATAAGGAATGCCCTTGGTAGAGAATATGGCTGGCACTCGATTACCTTTGCTGTTTCCATCAGGCCCCCTCAGAATGGTGCACTCCTCGATGTTCCCAAAGGACTCAAAAAGACGCCGCACATCATCCTCACACTGCTGCTTATTGAGCATGCCCACAAAGAGTTTTCTGTCTTCTGGAACAAACAGCAGGGGGTCATTACCAAGAAATGAACTTGGGGATCAATCATATAGGACTGAGGGGAATCCGCAGGGATGTCCAGCTTCAGTCCAGAGAACACTGCGTTCACTGCTATTATTATCAAAGATAAAAAAGATTTATGTTCTGAGAACTACGTATAATTTAATTTCAATGATTCTTTTAATCTGCAGCAAACTTGCCAGTTTTAGTGTTACATATTACAAACATTAACTTGAACCAGTTGATACTGCTTTCTAGTAATAATAATAATAATACTAAACTAATACTAGTAATAACAATACTACAGCAATAATAAAAGTACACTGTACTGTACCACTAGTTGTAAATAATATAAAATTTGTGTTGCCTTTAAATAAGTTTACTCTTGTTTTGAACCCAACAAATTGAACCTAAACCAAGGCAAATCATGTAGTTTTTCATTTGTCACCCTAAACAGCTCTGAACTCACTCTGTTTTCGGTTAATCTGAATGTTAGTTTCCATGAAGATTGTGACACGGGCATTTCAATATTTTTGCAAGGATAATATGTCTATCAGAGATGTCAAACCGCTGTGAACATTTTTATGATATGCTTTCATTTGACATCTTCTTTGACATCTTTCAGTTTTCATTAAAGTCTTCAAAAAGCATGAAACAACATGATTATATTTTTACGCTTTGATTATCAAAAACCGATATCTTTATGCCATGGTTTTTTCTGACAGATCACATTACCCGAACACCACGTTATTTGATTCGCACAGGTCCTGGCCAAACAATTATTATTGCTGTTTTTGGGAACTGAGCTACTATAAAATCCCAGTGTTAACACAGCTGTTTGGGCGTGACACGTTTTCCCTGATTTTAATTTTTAAACAAGGAAACTGGGAACTGGACCTCATTTGAATTTTAATCTCAACTGAATGTAATTGGATTCTATTGCAAAGCTCTGTCTGTGTTGCTCCTTTAAGTGATTACAAGAAAATGGAACAAGTTTCACCCAGTACTCGCTGTTAACCCTTTTGGTGCTGTGGATTTAGATGTATTTCAGTATGTGTCCATGTATGCACTTATGCGTATGGTCAGCGCCTCCCTCAGCGATAAACAAAGGCATTAAACACACATTTGTCCTTGATGCTACCCAAGAGAGCAAGTAAATTGGGATGATCAGCCTTTGTGCTTGATATGCCCTCTCTGGCCCTCGGCTGCACCCCAATGAGGGGGATGGGGTGGTGAGATGGATGGGGGCGGTGAGGATATTAATGAGGCTGGGTGCACGTTTAGGGCCTGCTGCCGTCACCGCTGACTCCTGACAGGACGTCCTTGCCAAGTCAACAAGACCAATCTCAGTGGCGGAATCACTAAATGTGTGAAAATGAAATAAAAGCAATCAGGGGCCATTTGAAAGCCCGTTTTGCGTCATATAACAGAAATGAATTTGTTCAGTACTTTAATATCTGGATGTTTTGATAATTGTGAAAGATGCATTTCCATTTCGTGCCTGGCATGTCATGTGAGATTCCAGATAGGCAGCGGAAGCATGGCTTTGTGAAGGCATTAGAAAGCATTCAAAGTACAAGCAGCAGGAATGCTTTACCTCATACATGCGCAATAAACAGTATATTATTCATTAATTTAGAAATGTACGGTTCTCTTTTCATGGATAAGAAGACCCATGATTATACATTTATGGCTATAACAGATCACTTTACAGTCATATCTAATTAAGATGTTCAGATGCTTCAATTATACAATTGCTGGGTGCCTTTTATCTGAATTGGGTTTTAGTAAATGTAATGATCGAATGATAACTTTAGGATTAGTGCATTTAATGAAATTTTACATGGGTACTGAGAGGCAAAATTGCTTTACCTACATATTACACTGTTATGGGTTTTTTCTTGTAATCAAGAAAAAAGTTGCCAGTCAAATAGAGTTGGCAGGTGTACGTACAAGACATACAGACAGACATACAGACAGACATACAGACATATATACATACAGACAGACATTACAGACATACATACATACAGACAGACATACATACAGACAGAAAGACATACAGACAGACAGACATACATACATACAGACAGACATACATACATACAGACATACAGACAGACAGACATACATACATACAGACAGACATACATACAGACAGACATACATACATACATACATACAGACATACAGACAGACAGACATACAGACATTACAGACATACATACATACATACATACATACAGACAGACATTACATACATACAGACAGACATACATACATACATACAGACAGACAGACATACAGACAGATACACAGATTGATAGTTGGTAGATGGCCTGTCAACATCATGAGTAAGTGCATATTACCTGTCAGCTCTGAAATCACATATGTAACTACATGACTCCTTTCTCAAATTACTGATGTGCCAGTTATTTTTGCTACATGAATTATAGTGATTGAATGGCACTATTAACTTTAAATATGCTAGACCTAATTTTCTCTGCTACTATTTAGCTTTTTAGACATTTCTATGCAGCTGTTCATTTCACGAGTTCTATGCATGAACACTATCAGGGGTTTCTTACCCCTCATATTTAAAAACGAGATAGGGCATGCTCTGAACTAATTAGGGTGCTTATTTAGGTCGTTAGCACCTTTAAAAAATACTAAACTATTATTAAAAAAAAATCAATCAATGAATGAATTAATTGATCTGTTAATTAATAAATGCTGCACAATTATTAGACGTTACACAGATAAAAACTGCTAACAATTCTTTATGACTTGTGGAAGTCGATGAAACAAGCAAGCTGTTTATCTTTTTTATGTGTTATACCACAGAATATATATGTATATTACTAGTCTTGGTATTAAAATTATTTGGATGCTCCTTGTGACCTAGGGTCGGGCGTAAATGTGAACGTTAGATACTTCCTGTATTTTATACAGAACTTTTGGAGATAAGTTACATGATTAAATGGCTCAGATACGCTCATATCTAGCTATTAAATGTGGGTTTTCTGCCTGACCTTGACTAATACAGACAGAGACTGCTAGGTGCCCACTGATGGACTGGATTTCAGAACCTTACGGCCTGTGCTGCCTGGGACAGGCTCCAGATTCAGCATGACCCTGTACTGCATAACAGCTATTGAAGATGGATGGATACTCTGTTGCCTACTGTATAATAATATTAGCTTTAGGGACTTGGAGGTAGTCATTGGGGAAGGTGTTGCCCATTTTACCCTCTGTTAAAGGACCTGATTTTGTTACTTCACAAATGCACAACTCTGGAGCCACAGCAGTTCAGCTACACTGCATAAGAATATCTGGTATAAAGTTTATAAAGTTTCGGATTCCTTATACTTCCTGGCTGAAGGTCAAAGGTGGTGTAACAACAGTGACTTTGTTGATAGATACCAGGGAAATGTAGTCAAGTCACTACTGCTGACACTTCCTTGAGTGCAGATTACTTTAGTGAAATGCAAAGCTGTAAAAAGGCTGTACAATTGTACGATATAAAACTGTCCTCTGTACCAGCCTGTAAAATAATGCAGTAGCATAATGCATGTCTGAAATAGTCCAAAATTCAAAAAGAAAAAAAACATCACAGGTTCAAAGACATGCTAGGCACATGAATTACAGCCTAACTCAGTTTTAATTCAAGCATTTCATATGGCCTTATGAGTTTTTTTCTCATATCAAGCATGACTCTGAAATGCAGCTCTACTTTAAATAAGCATAAAGGGCTTATTAAATGGATATTAGTCCAATAAATCTCCCATGATATAAAAGTGCTAATTTCCTTTTATTTCTGTTTATTATAAGATTGGAATAATCCTTCTTGCTGTCTTGCTATTACAGCTGCTGTAATGGTTTTGTGTCACGCTGTTATGTATGTCTCGTGTACATTTTATCCCTAAGCTGTCTTCCCATCCCTTACTTTCAGCCCTTGGTATTAATGTGTGCACTCGCTTTTATTATTTCCATAGTTTTTCTAAAAATATTTGCATAAAAACTTGTCAGTTTTGGAAAGAGCTTTAAACTTGCTTTTCTTTGGAAACAGAAAATTCTCTCTATCTATCGAATTTCGTTTCAGCAGTAAATGCTCTCATTTTGCAGTCCATTGGGATTTTGCCATGAATACGTATACCTGCATTCTAGTATTCAGTGTATTAATTTTATTTCTGTTATTTGATTACTATTATTTGCAGAGATTTGAGTGATTAAGACATATCTTTATTTTATAATTTACTATTTGAATCATAAATTACAATGAGTTTTTATGAAATGAAAATGGGATCTCTTTTGAACTATATATTTCAATTTTTTTTGCAGTCATTTGCACATATTTTTGATATTCACAAAGCCTTGGTCACACAGAAGGACAATGCAGCCAAAACTAATGTTCACAGCTTCATCTTGCATTATCTGGTCGATATAAAACCTGTAGGTACAAAGTGATTCCAGCTCACCTTGAAATTCAATGTTCAATTTCTGCAAGTAATAAAGGCAGGGATTCTGGGAGCCAGTGGACGGCCAGCAAGGACAGTCTCGCTTTATACTCAAACTATTCCTTTCTCAAGCTCCCCTGATGTGTCTTTTTATCTCCATTTTTTCACCACCCTATCCCTCCATCCTCATTTCTGGAAGTCATTCTCTCTTTTCCTCCCCCCTAAGTCTTCATCACTGTTGCTCCCTCTCTACTTACTCCACCATCTGCGGTGGATTCAGGCGTGGCAGCCCTACATTGCTGCCGACTCTGGAGATGCCACTTGGTGTCGTTCCGTCTTATAAAATAAAATGCTGTGTCCAGTTCTGAACCAGCACGATCTGTCCTGCACTCTCTCTCACGTTTCGTATCAGCACCCCGCTTGGCAGACGTTGTCGCTGGGGACTCCTCCGAAACACAGGGTCATGGGAAGGGGCGGGGGGCGTTGTTTCTGGGGAATCAAAGGGACGCACTGGGAAAACAGCAGGGAATGACAAAGAGCAGACATGCAGAGCTGTTAGCTCAGCCCCCCTTGTGGCTGGCGGGTCGGCTGTCTAGCAGAACCTGACATGCCTCTGCCCCAACCATCTGCTACCTGCTGACCTGCTCATCTCCACCATTATTTCTTGACCACCGTGAAGCTCTTTAGAAGGGGCCAGAAATGTTCTTTGAATATTTAAATTCCAATCAGTGATACTAACAATGCAAATAATGACTAATGCCGTGGGAGCTTAATGAACATAATAGCACCAAGTTTTTAAATGATTTAAACTTCATTTATCATTTATGCAAAACATACATACGCACACAGGAAGGCTCAGTGTGCTAATTACTGTTTCTTAGACATACCTAAAACTGCTGTACTATTTATTCCTGCTTATTGTTTCATGATACTAATTGCAATGATGCACACATTGTTATTCCTGAGTGCACCGACACGCACACCAGATGAGCCGCCTGTCTTGTGTTATGTGTGTCAGAGGAATGACATCACCAGTGCGCTTGCTGCTGCTCCCTTTCTCTTTGACTGGAGGATGGGCTGTTCGAATTTGTGCCCCAAACCGGTTTTGGTGTCTCAGACTCGATGTGATGATTAGCTAGGGAAGTAGGAGAGGTATCCTCCTAACAGACTGAGGATGATCAGAACACCCATCCCTTTGACCAACAATTGAGGTCCTTATAGGCTCCCTAAGGATTTCTCAGTAAGGTATCCACTTCCTTTCTCTCTCACCACCTGCAAATCCTCTGGATTTTGCATAATTAAACTAGTATTAAACAAGCAATTCTCATAATTGGATTTGGAGAAAGTGTTTTGTTCATGCAAAAACCATCCATGGAGCAGATGGAATTAATGGTGTGATATACTCCAGGAATACTCCTCAATGACTTCATTCAAAGAGCAGCTCTTGGTGTCAATAAACCTGCCTGTCTTCAGACGCGTGTCCCCCTGCTTTAGAAGTATTGATGCAGGCCACGTGTCCCCCTGCTTTAGGAGTATTGATGCAGGCCACGTGTCCCCCTGCTTTAGGAGTATTGATGCAGGCCACGTGTCCCCCTGCTTTAGGAGTATTGATGCAGGCCANTTTAGGAGTATTGATGCAGGCCACGTGTCCCCCTGCTTTAGGAGTATTGATGCAGGCCACGTGTCCCCCTGCTTTAGGAGTATTGATGCAGGCCAGGCTCCAATGACTGACCCAAGGTCATTCTGAGTATTCCTGTCCAAAACATTGGAAACCGAGCCTTAGGAAGTAGTAAGTCTGATTCTGAATCAGGATGGCTGAACTCTAGAGGATGGATGCATTTTTGGACTTATGGTACCAGCTCGCTGGAAGCTGTGAGGGAGGAATCTTTCTTCTTCACCAGGGATATATATTAGAGAGACAAGATAATCCATGTCCGGGAGGACACTTTGACCTAGGAGAGGATTTGTAAAATTCCATTTCAATTAACAGAACCTGGATCCGCGGACTTGCTGTGTGCTGATCCCCATAATCATGCGTGTCTCACTAATGTTAACGTGAAACAGTTGGAAGAGTTTTTAAATTAAAAAAACCAAACCAGTCAAAGCACAAGTAGAACTGAATTATTTACTCAAGCACAGGAGCCTTTCAGTTTTAAAGTAGTCTGTAAAATCTGAAATAGCTCAAAGTGTCCTCCTGACATGGATTAATTATCTGGTCACCCTACATATACATTCATATGTGGTGTACCTGTCCTTAGATAAGAGACAGAAAATGGGTGGATGGATGGATGGACGGTTGGATGGATGAATAGTGTACTGATAGCATACATGTGGACAGATGGAAGGATGGATGGATGTAGTGTACTTATGTGTGTAAGTACAACGCATACACTGATCTGACGTATTTTGTTCTTTAGGATTCCATTTTATTTCTACTGCATTTGCATTACTAAGATGAATTATGGTATTACAGAATCCCTCAAAATATAGACATTTATATGTTACCTGTTTTTTTTTGTGCGGTACTTTTTCATGATTGAAATATCATCTGGATTTAATTTCTGAAACCTGGACGATTGAAGGTTTACACATTTTTTGCATGTTTCTTTACATAATGGTTGGCAATTGGGAATTATGATTTTGCACTATATTCAGAAATGGTGGTAGGATGAAGAAAGCATCAGTGTCTTGAGAGATAGCAATCCAGGAAGCACCTCATACCACTTCTTCCTAAAAAACACCCCTCCCCGTTGGTAATTATTTATTTAGTCAATTGAATGCTTCTCCTATGCTGCCACTGGATCATCAAGAATGTGAATTGCATCATATTTAAATCATATATAATGCACTTTTTAAATCTGTGCCATTGTCAAGGGAACAGCATCAAGCATGTGCTGTAAATCCTTTACTTTGAAAGGCAGGGAAAAATGGGGGGAAGATGAGCGGGGCGACAGAAGGAGGGATTTGCTCCTCCTCCTCCTCCCTGCCCCCACACAATGCATGTGCCTCCCTCCATGGGGGAATACATCCATCGGTGGCTCTCAGAAAGCAGCGAGCCAAAGGACGGTGGGAGTGGGCCTCTCCCAGCCCGGGTTCCGTTCTCAGTACGGAGGAGCTGTCAGGCCCTTAGGGCATCGCACAGTTACAAGGGAGCAGCAAAGCAGACCCGGGAAGCCGGCACTGCTTACGCTCACTTGTGATTGGAAGATTGTTAAAGCGGTGACATCATCGCTAACATTGAAAAGCATGTCAGCCCCCCGCACTGGCTCCGGATTAAAAGTAAAGCACCACGAAAAGAAGGACAGCGACAGAGCACTGGCATGACTCTGCAACTGCAACAGTAATGTAGCACGAGAGTAAAAGTGGGAAACTACCTCCTCTGTTCTCACTGTCTGCCGGCTTCACCTGGATCGGTCTGTTCATCTGCACAGAGACAAAGACAGAGAGAGAGAAAGAGGAAAAATCATCAATTTACTAATTTATTATAATTATACCTTTTGCTACAGTCTATGGCAGTACTCATACGCTGATGTGGAATAGTTGCAGAATTGCAAAATTGCAGAATAACTCAATGAAAACAAGGGCTGAGAGAGGAGAGAGCAAAGGGAATGTAAACAGAGAGGACCCTTCAGCAGCAGGACTGATACAGACTCTGCATGCATATGTGCATGCAGGCACAGAGTGTGTCTGGGTGTGTTTGGGTATAGAGTCAAGCTGCAGTGTGTGTGTATTTGTGTATGTCTGGGTATTGAGTCATGCAGCAGGGTGTGTGTGTGTGTGTTTGGGTACAGAGTCATGCAGCAGGGTGTGTGTGTGTGTGTTTGGGTACAGAGTCATGCAGCAGGGTGTGTGTGTGTGTGTTTGGGTACAGAGTCATGCAGCAGGGTGTGTGTGTGTGTGTTTGGGTACAG